TGAAAATACTCCGGAATTTTTTCGAAGTGGTCTAAAGTGCTGCTTGAGCTAATTCAAAATGCATGTCAAAAGTTTTTTTAACCAAGATCCTGACCCCCCCTCCCCCCCACCCGGTGTCCGATATTTTAATGTTGATTCCCCCTTGGTCGCCACGTTGCGGCGGAAACTCAACAGTGCTGAGCCCGGAGCCTTGCGCCGATATATCTTGGAAGGCGGCATGATCCGAGGGGCACCGCCACTGTGCATCTCTCTCGTCAACACCCATCTCGGTCACCCAGTCGTCGTCGTCCAGTGCTGAACTCTTCGCTGCTGTCCTTCCAGTCAGGCCCAGCAGGTTTGTTGGGGACTTTGTATTGCGTTGACACCTGCTCCTGGCAGCTTTTTGGCGCAGGGCAAAAAAATGGACTCGGCACCGGTCCCAAATCTGCCCCCGGAATTAGAACGAGATATCTTCGAACTCTGTGCTCTCTACTACCCCCAATCGATTCCGAAATCAAAATCAAAATCAGAGTGGCAAGTCATTATTTCTCCTCGATGCCCTGAGTTTAAAACGGACTCAGGATGCGACCGCTTCTCTACCGAACCCTCATCTTTGATCATGAATCCTATCCGATCAAGGAGCAGACTAAAGCTGCCCTTCCCGTTCACTCCGTCGACCGCATCGCACCTCTAGAAGAGACTTCCCATGTCTCTTGTTTCGCCGCCGTACGCCACCTGTTCCTCTCCAGTGCAAGCGACTCCGCCGCTTCGACGGCACTTCTCTCCGCTTGTCCCAACGTAGAGAACCTCTCGCTTTTCGGAGTGAATGCCGAGTGGATCCCACTCATCTCGCGTCTCCCACTCCGACACCTCTACGCTCCTCCCCCGCAGATTATAGGCACTTTTGGCCCTGCATTTCCGCACCTCACGCACATCGAGATATTCGAATCCCGTCCCTCTTCGTCGTGGGATAACCTCGTGGCTCTTCCGCGGTTGAGCCACCTTTCCTTCCACGATAGTCTCCCCGAGGTGTTTCTCCGGCTACTGCGGCTGTGCGCACACCTCCGGGTACTGATATGCATGGGGATGGTCGATAACGCGGACCTCGCGCAGGACGTGCGTTTCGTTTGCACGAGCTGCAATCACTACGTCCAAGACTGGTACATGGGTGCGCGGTGGGGCGAGGACTATTGGCACCGTGCGGAGCTATTTATTGCCAAGAGGCGTGCGGGCGAGATCCGTCGTGCGTGTTGAATCACCACTCTTCCTCTTGGGCCACTAACATCAACACCCTAGACTACGACGCGCCGGATGAGAGTCTTGCCACCTTACCACTGGCCGCATGACGACGTGTTTGGTGAATATCATTGGGATACGTACAACATCTCTATCTCACTAATCTGACTGCTTGTGTGAGATGTACCTGACCATTGTACGAACTCCTGAATCAACTCACCGAGCACTTTCTTGCCCGTACAAATTCCAGGGTCAATCGACGCCAGCTTTCAGCACCTCACGGCCGCCAGTACTAGATTCATTGAAGCCTCCAAGACATTGCCAATCAGATCGTCAATACTGACCCACACACTGTTCGTCTTCTTGGCTGGATTCCATCGAATTCAATAGTCAACTATGTGCGGCCTGTCCGTTCGTTCGTGTTGAGGCGCTCCAGGGGTTTCCTTCTTTGCATTGAAGTGCTGAGTTTCGTTTCGTTTAGCATTTCCACCCCGAACTCTGCTGAAGCCGCGATCTTGAGTTGATCTTGAGGTGGAAAATCCAAGAAAGAAAGGATTGATTAATTATCTGCGGCGAGAAAATTTGCGCATCAAGTTGTAGCTCCTCCAGATCGACGACTCAAGAACTTACAGTAACAATTTTCAGTGAACAGAAGGTCAAATCAGCTTCGACCGACCACAGCCGTAGGTGATGTGGCCGTGGGAGTGGGAGGAAAGCGGCATGATCCGAGAAGCACCGCCGCCGTGGATCTCTTTCACCCAGCACCCATCTCGCTCGGTCGTCGTTCGCCGCCTGAAACGGCGTAATTGGACCCTTCTTTGGACAGTGACGACCCAGTCTTCACACCTTACAATCCTGCTAAGAGGCTCGGAGCCGTGAACGAAACAGCTGCTGGCCTAGCTCGACAGACAGCTCGGTGGCGCTCCGTTGCGCTCAGTGAAAAGGAAACACACACACATGGCATCTGCGGTCGTGGATCTGCCCCCCGAACTAGAGCGGGAGATCTTAGAACTTTGCGCTCTCTACTACCCACGATCGATTCCAAGGCTCGTCCTGGTTGCCCATCGCTTCAACGAATGGCAAGTTATTTTGCTCCTCGACGACCTAAATCTTACAACGCGTGTTAGGATCGGCCCCCTGCTCTACCGGACCCTCGTTTTCGACGATCCGTCCTACTCAATCAGCCCGCTCCCCACTGATATCCTCCCCGTTTACTCCACCCGCCGCATCGCGCCTCTTGGACACGACGCTCCCCTTCCTGCCCTCGCCGCTGTGCACCACCTGTTCCTCTCCAGTACCACCGACTCCGCCGCTTCGACCGCCCTCCTCTCTGCTTGTGTCAACTTAGAGAACCTCTCGCTCATGGGCGCGAGTGCCGAGTGGATCCCGCTTATCTCGCGTCTGCCGCTCCGACACCTCTACGCTCCTCCCCCGCGGCTCATACCCGTTCTCGGCCTTACATTTCCGCACCTCACCCACCTCGAAATATTCGAATCCCGTCCATCGTCGCCGTACGATACCCTCAGCGCTCTTCCGCAGCTCACCCATCTTTCATTCCACGACTATCAACCTGAGGTGTTTCTCCGCATACTGCGCCTGTGCGCACAACTCCGGGTGTTGATAACCCTGACCGGGGTCAATAGGGAGGAGAGCGTCGCGGATCTCACCCAGGACGTGCGCTTCGTTTGCATGAGCTGCAGCTGTTCGAGCTCGGTGTCGACGGTCCAACCGCGGGCTTCGAGGGCGGTGGTGAATGCTGTCGCCAAATCAATCTAGTCAAGTGAGTAATAGAGTGGGAGGGAGACGCACCGCGCTCGAGTTTGGGCGCGGAAGTGCCGCAGCGTTTGTCGCGTCGCGCGTGGGAGCCTACCGCGGTCGTCAGTTGCAATTTCCACAGCAGGCATGGAGGGAGGCGCGCGCACGCACAGAATGTGAGCACACACGAGTACGGCAACACCCAGGTGCTAAAGCCCGCCTCCGCCGAGTCCACGGAGCCCAGAACGCGCGGGACGCGCGGATCGAGCGCAGCCCGCCATAGCGCCCGCGCGCCCTCGCGCGTCGCGGGTACGCCCGCCACCATAACAAAGTCGGGGAAGATGAGCACGGTGTGCATCTCCTCGGCGTCGTGGGAGATGGACTTGATGTGCGCGTTGAGGACGGAGATGTGGGTTGATTCGGCAGCGGTAAAGATGCCTGGGACCTTTGGGAGGCCGGGGGTCGTGGTGGAAGGAGGGGGGAGCGCGGTGGGCTGGATGACGCTGGTGATGTGGGCGGCGAGGGACTGGCGGCTCCATGTGATCTCGGGGAACCAGTCCTTCGCGCCCGTGGAGATGAATACCTGGAGAAAGGTCGGTTCAATATGTACTCAGGATTAGGCCCGAGGTTCAGACACACCTGGCGCCGGAAAGGGTCGACAGTACCCAGCATCTGTGTCTCCATGTCGACGGTGAACCGCGTAGGATATTCACCATGCCCTGCCCCGGTCAGATAAAATTAAATAAGACACAAATGCCGGGTTCCCTCACCGTCCTCGCACGGATTCGCGCAGGTTCTGCATTCTGCGTACGAGACGGGGACGGCGCCTGCGTCGAGTTGGGCGCGGATGTTGTCGGGGTCAAGCTCGTGACTGAAAGCCCAGGCGCGTAGTCGGCGGAAAGCGCTCATCGGGGGAAGTGTGGCCTTTGCATCCACGCTTTTGAGGGTGTTTTAAAGAAAGAAGCTCAAAAACTGCGGCCGTGCGTCCACGCAATTGATTAGATTAGATTACGTTGATTGTCATTCCGGTCTGGTCAGCACTCAACCCGTTTTTCCGCGGTTCACTGCACATCAGGAAGAAGGCGGCGATGATATTTGGGAGCCAAACAGAGTCTGATGCGTGCGCCCATTGGACGCGCTTCCATAGGCACGAAAATCCGGCGACGTGTCCGCGACGCGTTCTTTGGTTGTGTTTCGTTCGGAAATTGACGGCGGCATGACGGCTTGTTGAATTTTCGAAAGTTCCAATTCGTAGCTATCTTCTTTCCTCCTTGCAAAGAGGAGAAATGAAGCGGGAAAAGGAAAAATAAACGGGTCGTGGGAAGAGATGGGGAAACGGAAAGAGAAAAAACAAGGGAAACAAGGTGAATACTACCCGACCCCGAATCGAACGAGGAACTCATGCCGCTCAAGAAATATTTAAGGATGGCAAGCGCACACCGTGTGCTGTCAGGCGTCCTAACCTGTACTTGTTGTGTGCTTCCGACCACCAATTTTCAACCTGGATAGGAAAGAAATTGAGTAGAAGACATGCATCACCCAACCCAACATACACCTCAGGAAAAATCACAAAGAGGGCAAATGCACACCATGCCCTATTGGATGTTCTTACCGCCTGTCTTCAAACCCTCCATACTACCCACCAAAATACCACTTGAGTTGGAAAATGGTTAGTTGTATAGAACCCGACCCCGAATCGAACGGGGACTTCCTGCTTACAAATTGTAAGTCGAGCAGATGCACACCGTGTGCTATCAGGTGTCTTAGCCTTTACCTTTCAGGCTCATTTATCCTAAGTACCAAATATTCAGCTTGGGTTGGAACCAAAAAGGTCGGATATACCCGTATCACCAAACCCCGAATCGAACGGAGACCTCCTGCTCGCAGTGGCAGATATCTCCCCAATGCTATGCAGGCGCACAGCACATGCTATCAGGTGTCCTAGTCTCGACCTTTCTGGCTCATTTATGCTAAGCACCAAATATCCAACTTGGGGGTTGGAATAAAAAGAGCCTATGGGAAGAGAAACATCACCCAACCCCGAATCGAACGAGGGCCTCCTGCTTGCAACCATGCATATCGTTCTCATGCCAGGCAGGTGCACACCATATGCTATTGGGTGTTCCTCTCTTGCCTTTTGTACCTCTCCATACCACCAAATATTCGACTTGGGTTGGTTCCTGCTCTTGTCTGGCCTGACTTGTGTTGAAAAAGTTGATAACCGAGTTGGATTATCACCCAAAAGATGGTGTGATTTGATCACCCGACCTTGAATCGAATGGGGACATCCTGCATGCAGCTCACGCGGTGAGGTAGTATCACAGTGAAGGAATGAACCAAGCTTGTGTAATTGTTGTAAAGGTTCAAGCCGCGATGCCGACATATCACCCTCATCCAGATGAACACGACCAAAGATTCGTCGACGAATTACGTCTCATTGACGCCACATTGAATGGCTCGAAGAACGGTTCCGGCTTTGCTGCATGCTACATATAACTTCTTGATAACCTGGGCGTCAAAGTGCTTCTCAGCGCTAAGGATGTATATTGGGTTCGGGTTCATATCTCCAAAAAAGGCAGTGGCGGAGGCCGTCTGGTGACACCGATAACCAAAGCGTTCCCACATCCAGCGTCCAACCGACGGCACTGAATCGTTTCACCGGTCCTAAAATCAGGACATAAATTGTGTTGGCTTCGGCTTTCCGACAGAAGTCCGGGGTCCCCATGGTTTGGCCCTGACCCAAGAGCGAGTTGTCGGAGTTACGTGTCTAACAATTTCGGCGTGAAAGGTCAAGCATTCCTCACGTCATTGCCAATTTACTGCCCCAGACAGTGGCGCTGGCAGCTTGGCGATTGGCGCGCGATGCCGTTTTTGAAGGCAGAAAAATCTCACTTCAAACTCATTCTTCTCTCCCTCCCTCCATGTCGGCGGTCGAAGATGCGCTCAAATCACCGACTGAGGACCTGTTCAGTGTTCGACCCTCTAATCCTCCGCCGCCGCTCGACCCCAACCCATTGTCCGCTCAGTTGAGGTAGATTTTTCCCGTTATATTCAAGGGCGGGGGTTTCGGTTTCTTCCTTTCTGATACCCTTCAGGTGGTTCTGGGCAATGTTCATCCAAGATCATGGAAAAGAATACATTCGTGGGGTACTCCGGCGTGCAGTGGAGGACATCATGCAAGTGCTGGGGGACGAAGGATTTATAGGCACCCACGACATGGAACTGTTCAAAACTGCTCAGGACCGGCGGGACAGCCGCGAACTTGTCACGCTCTTTCTGGAGATTGTTGAACATTCGGATCACAACGAGAGGTTCAAGAACCGGCTATTGGAACTCCTGGAGGAGCACCCAGCTACAAAAAGTTTAATAGCACCAACGGTAAGGACATATGTTGCTGTGATGAATAAAGTAAGCTAATCTCCTTGTGTGCGGAGGCATTGAATGAGGACCTGTTCAGTGTCCAACCCTCTAGTCCTCCACCGCTGCTCGACGCCTACACATCGTCCGCCCGGCTGAGGTGAATGTTCACCACTATATTCAAAGCCGGGCTTGTCTTCTTCTCTGATATGTTTCAGGTGGTTTTGGGCGATGTTCATTCAAGATTATGGAAAAGAATACATTTCTAGCGTCCTCCGGCACGCTACAGAGGATATCATGCAAGCGTTGCGGGGCGAAGGACTCATAAGCAACCACGACATGGAACTATTTGAAACTGCTCAAGACCGACGCGACAGCCGCGAACTCGTCAGGCTCTTTCTGGAGATTGCGGAACATTCAGATCACAACGAGAAATTCAAGGATCGGTTATTGGAGTTCCTGAAGGAGCACCCAGCTACAGAAGGGCTAATGACTCCCAATTGAGTGTGAGGCTCACACGAACACTTCGAGTACTTTGTTCCGTTTTCGTGAGTTTAAGTCCTGATCAATTCCTTTCACCTGAACATTTCAGAAATACAGAAAAAAATCTTGTACTGACCACGAAATGTATATGTGCACTCATTTGCCCGGTTACGCGAAGACGTAGCTCACGGACGCGACGCGTTCTTTGGTCGTGTTTCATTTTAAAGATTGATGGCGGCATGAGGCTGGTTGAATTTTCAACAGTTTCAACTCGAGGCTTTCTTCTTTCCTACTCTTTCTTTGGTAAAATTACAAGGCGACTGTCATGACTGGTGGAGCCTGGAATGATCATATGTGGGACCTATAGCTAGTCGTCTGCCAGACCTATGGACTCACGGATACTTAGTCCCCCTCCACTAATTGTACTCCTTCATATATTCCGGGCCGAGGACCACCTCCTCGCCCGTCGTCATATCCTCGTCTAAGAAAAAGTGCGTCAAACATGACCATCCGCCTACTCAAAGAAAGAAAAGAAAACAACGCACAAGAATTCCACGTCCGCACCACCGGCGTCCCCTTCCCTTTCACTCCTTTCCCCGTGGGCCCCAAATCCCCCAACGCAAGCCCAAACACCCGCGCATTACGCACCCCACTATGCGGCGTCACATACCCGCCGTACCCCGAGTGGCCGTTGAAGCAGATCGGCACGCCCGCGGAGGCGGTGGCGCGTGCGCACCACGACTCGCCGTGGTCGTGGCCCGAGGTCACGGCGAGGACGGTGCCGGCGCGGTCAAGGTCGACGAGGGCGTTCCAGACTGGTTGGTGGGTTAAGTTGTTGAAGGGAATGGGATATTCATATGCGCCGTGCGGGCTTACAGGGGAGGTCGAGCCCGGTGTAGGTGTTGTTAAGGAAGCCCTGCGTCGCGGGGTCCGGCTCGTCGTCGTGGTCGCCTACGCTTGGGCTGCGATGGATTTGTGTGTTACTCAACTTCGAAAGGGAGAGTCGAACACGTACAGCGGGGCCAGGACGTCGGCTTTCTGAATCTGCAAGAAATCAATTAATCGTGCAGAGGTTCGCCATAGCACCACTGACTGGAATATGCACGAACACGAGCGCAGGCGGGACGGTCTTCCACTAAGAACACACTTCGTCAACCCGATTTCGCAGTGAATATTGAGGACGACGCACCATAAACCCCATCAGCTCGCTCTGCTGCTTGATCCACTGCGGCACCGTGTGCTCGTCGACCCAGTAAAAGTCCGCTTCGGGCGGTGTCGGACCTGTCATTGTAATCCCAATATGAGAAACCGCAGAGTCGGCGTGTATGTACGACGTACCCCCAGCCTGCCCCGGCCCTCCGGTGACGAACGACCGCGAGTCGAAGAACCACATCACGAGCGCAGGGACGAAGTCGTTTTGGTTGGCGTATACCGGCACCCCTTGGTACATACCAGCAATGAGTCCGTGCGAGTAGACGCTGGGATTGAACGGAGGGTGACTGACAGTAGTTCCCGCACCCGTAGGGCTTTGGTCCGACGTCTGCGCGCGTGTACGAGAGGGCGGAGTAGTGCTTTTGCTCGTATCTGCAGTGTGCAATTGTGGGTTAATCGCGAATATATACATATGTACCACTGTGTGTGGGCACATTGGATGAATCACTCACTCGATTTCCTCCAGGTGGTTGATCACGAGCTTAGAGCGTGTTCGTTGATCAACGAAAGGTTTGCATTGAAGGGATTGGGATTCGACGACTGACCGAGTTATCATGCTAGAAGACCCGCCACTTAGGTTTCAGTCCAGGCCACCGGCAAAGATGAGATGATTGGATGAAACTGACGTTTCCATGCGTGGACGAAAACGGTATTCCGCGGGAAGCAGTGGGCGCGAAGAGCTGGTCGAGGTATTTCGTCGCGTTGTCTGCGAATACGTTCTCCCCTATTCGTATTGCCAACGCATCAATGAAAGAATTGAACGATAGTGAACGCAGGAAAAAGAAATGTATACATACCGGTTATCAGGTCGCCGTTGAAGACTCTGCCATGCCATGTCATTCCTTTGCTAAGTACGAGCGAGGATGGATCGATACTTACACATAATCCGGCCTCTCATTATCCAAAACATTGGCATGCACGATCGAAGTGTTGAGATCCTGCTGCGGACCCCAAACCACCTCTTCGCCCTCCCCGAAATGCATGTCCGAGAACGAGGCAACCTAAATAGTGTGCCTATGAGTACGCAGTAATAAAGTAAGAAGTAAGAGACCTTGAAGTTCCCACGCGCATCGAACGTGAGCTTGCGACTGCGCAGTTGGCTGGCGAGGGTGCTAGAGAAGCTGTGCGCCAGTGGGACCGCAGCCGCGCCCGACGCAAGGAGGAGGGGGAGGAGGATGGGGAGGATCATGGGGGTTGGAGCGAAGGCAGATAACGGCAACTTCGCGGCGGACATCAGAACTGTTGGAAGCGCGACTTGCGCACGTTCCATGCCGGCGCCGGAAATAGCCAGTTCGAGTGGATGGACAATTTTTGGGCTGGCAGAGTGCCGCATCCACTGAACTAGAGTTGAATAGAATCGTACATATTGGAGGAACGATAAAAAATTAGAAAGATATAATGTATTTTTCGAAGGCGGGTATACCTTTCGACTGAAGGACGTAAGTCATTGACAATCCAAGGGGTAAATACAATACCGTTCAGCGATCTAGACAAAAAAACTAGCCCACGGGAACAGCATCCCAATCCACACGAAGCGCCCTCCGTCGCTCGTCGCATTCACCTACGCATTATCCATGTCAGCAAAGAGCCAAAAAAGCGCGATACTATCCGAATCCACACGCACCCTCATCCCCCTCCGCACCCTCATCATACTGCATCACCTCTTGCCCCTTCCTCCAAAAATACATCGTACCTGACCCATCAACCCACAGCGCCCGCAGGTCCGGATGCTGCGCCACAAGTGCCACCTTCAGCTCGTTCACGTCTGGACAGCCGAAATCGATGTCGTGGAGATGTCGGTATCGCCAGTGGATGGCGAGCTTTTGGAGGCCGGGGGGGAGGGGTGAGTGCCACGCGATGGCGTCGAAGAGGGAGTCCGGCTGTACAGCAGAGGGCGTTAGAAACTAGCCGGGTCCTAAGCGGAAACTGCTCACCTCAAGAGGACTGTCGTTCCCGTATGTGGACGAGACCTCCACGTGCAGCTCGGTGAGGTGGGGAAACACCAAACTCAGGCCTGCGAGATGGGTGTGGTCGAGCTCCTCAAAGCCCGCACGCAGAGCAGTGACGTTG